AACAGAGAGAGTGAGGTAGATGCCGCGCAAGTTACTACCGTGCTGTGGAGCACACGGCGGACATCGTCGAAAACAACGATCAAACTGTCCTCGTTCGATTTGACTGGCTTTAGTATATTTATAGTTGCGCAAATGGGGTGTTAAGTTTTTCAGCATATTTCGTGTGGAATATTATTGTGTTCAGATTATCGTCCAACTTGTCACCCGTGTTATCATCCTTTAACCAGCTTCGATGAACAAAATCTGAGTTTACAAATGCGTAATGTTTTACCACACTAGCATCCCGAGTGCTTGCTGGCCGATACATTTCAAGTCATCTATTCATATCAATTTTCGAAGCGAGCCTAAAAGGCTAAAGGACAATATCTGAGTTCTCAGTTGACGTAAACAACATTTTAAAGTGTAACAGGTTTCTTCGGTGCTCACGTGTATGGGTTACGTTAGAAATAACGGAGCAGTCGTCGGGTGGTGGGTTACTTCTACGATCGCTGTGCGTGCACATCTCTATTTTAAGTGTTAACGCCCATTTTTTTGCAGACAATTTCGCCTTCTGACGCGCCTCTTCAAGTGTGTGGGTGAAGATGTCTTCTCGCGCATCGTTCATCACGTGACAGTGGGCAATCAGGTGATCGTATTGCCACTTGAGGATGCCCGTCTCGGCTCACTAACGACCGCGGCTCTTGCCCGTTTTCTTCCTCGAGGATGTGTGCACATGGTAGCTCCCTTCTCTTTTCCTATTTTAAATTTACCTCTTTATAATATCCATGAAACAATACTTTATTCGCGTGCCTTCACAAAGTTGTTTTTCTCGATAATTTGACGTTTGGCGGCCCGGGTGGGATTGGAGCCCACGACTGCAAGGGAGGGCCTTACAGTGTCCGCTCTGGCCACCTGAACTATGAGGCCCCACGGGTAGTCGTAAATTAAATCACATCAGGATCAATTTACCCGCCAAGTCTGCTGCAACCTATGGAATCCACCACTTTTTCATAAAAATAACCTGCTTGCCTAAGCGTAACTTCCCAAGCAAGCAGTCTAGACTCCACCAAATAGACGCTAAGTTTGCTTACTTAAATTAGGTTTCAAATAATTCCTTTGATCCAATTGTAAGCAATTTGGCGCCCTTCCGATGCCGATAGTCAAGCAGGACGTACTCGAGTATT